TCGCTCGCCCGCCCGCTCAACCACTCACAGCCAAGCCAGATCAAGCCAGATCAAGCTCAGCACGACCTGTTGCTGGCTATACAGGGGGAGTGGCTGGTGTGGTCACAGGGAATGGAGGTGAGGGTGTGTAGATGGCTGGATTGAGATGAGTGTGGTGGCTGCCGCTGGGCGCTCCAGCTGTGGCCGAGGCCGAGGCGAGCAGCGAGTGATCGAGTGACGGCCAGCCGCTCGTCGCTCAGCCACTCGCCGGTATGGGCGCCGTGCTGCTGCTGTGGCAGGAGAAGAGGAAGCCCAACCCCGAGGCGGCGATGACCAGGTTGGTGATTATGCTGATCCTGATGCTCATGGGGATGGGGATGGGGGATGGCGATGGCTGGCGATAGGAGTGATGGTTGAGGCGGCAGCGTTCATGGTTGCGATCGCGGACGACGAGCTGAGGCGGTTACTGTGGCTGACGCCGAGGCTGCGACTGCTGGGGAGAGAGAGGGAGGATGCGAGGGATGTGACGAGGGAGACGGATAAATGATCCATGCATAGCGAGCAAGCCAGCTGCTGCGTATCACCATCGGCGCCGGATCGCTGCCGGGCGGGCCCAGTGGGCGACAGCCCAAACGAGCGAGCACACAACCCAAGTTCGAGGCCGAGGTCGAGGATGAGAGCGCAAGATCGAGATCAGAAGGACGAGCAGAAGCGGAATAGCGAGTACAATGACGCAGACACTGTTGGTCTGATGCACATGAATGTCATCGTCGTCGTCATCGCCATCACCATCACCTCCGCTGCCCGCCGCCAGCCCAGCCCACCCACTCGCCTTCACCGACATCGACACCAACTGACGATGGCACACCCATGGCCACTTCCTAGCCTGTTCCTACTCACTCTCCCGTCTACCCTCCACCCTCTCGCACCGCAGCCTACAACTGCCCCCTCCACCAATCCCAAGCCCTCGTCTCCATCGACACCCCTCCTGCCAACTGCGCCGCTGATCATGACTGGGCCCAAGTCCGACTGGCCGAGAACAAGCCACTCCTCCTCTCACTCTCCTCCCCAACCACATCCTCATCCACGCCTCCCCTCAACCCCTCCACCAACACCCATCGGCCTACCCATGCCTCAATCCCGACGACGACGGGCACGGTGACTTGGACGACCCGACAGCAATCGCATCAGCATGACCAGCAGCATTAGCAACACCACCTCTACCACACCCAACACAACCCAAACACAAATAAACAAGATCACAGCCACCGCCATCGTCCCCATCCCCGCCATGACTCTTGCCCCTCGTCATTTACTGCCCATCCTCCTCCACCTTCACAAGCCCTCCCCTGATAAAGTACTCGGTCACCATCCGCCGCCGCTCTCTCACCTCGCTCAGCACGCCAAGGATCGAATTCCACGACTTGCCTTCCTCCACATGCATACGCAGCACCTCCTCCCTGCTCGGCATCCGGATCGCCTCCAGGAACTTGCGCCGCTTCCACTCGCGGTACTCGCCAGACGACATCCCACTGCTGGATTCCGAGCTCGAGCCGCTGCTCCCCGCATCGCTCACGACCCCAATCACACACGACGATTCCCCGTCATCGCCGCTGTCCGACACCATCGGCAGCACCTTCCTCCGTCGCCGCGCTCGCTTCCGCGCGATCCCCTCCACCACGCCCACGTCCTCCGCATTCCCCACCATCTCATCCACGCTCCACCAGCCAGCTCCAATCACAGCCTTGCTGTCGGCGTCAAACACCACCCACCGGCGGATCACTCCGCGCAGCAAATCCTCCATCACCCCGGCCTCCACGTCCACTGCAAGCGCAAGCCCAGGCCGCAGCACGCCTGCCACACGCGCCATCTCCTCACGTGTCGGCTTCCACGCCACTCCAGCCCCGACATCTTGCGCCGCCAGCCTTAGCTTCGCCCGCTGCTCCTGGATCGCCAAGTGCGCCACCCACTGCGCCTCGCGCCGCGTCATCCACCCGGAGAACAGCGACTTCTTTGCCTTGCCAGACCCAAACTCCAACCTCACATGCAGCATTCCATTGCGCGTCGGGTGCTGGCCTGCTTTCCGGGCCACAACCGCCCTCACCATCTTCCTATCGACCACAAACCCTCGCATCGCCAGGCTCCTACCTTCGGCCGCAGACACCACGCTCCGCTCAGACTTGGGCACTGCCCTCACCTCAGCTTTGCGTTCCATTCGCACACACGCCTCCCGCGGATCGACTTCCATCGGCCGGCCCAGATACCCGCTCGACGTCGCTATCTCTTCCGCCACCGCCAATCCGGTCGCCGCCTTCCGCCCCGCCAGCACATCCTCCACAATTCGATGCGCAGCAAGCGCAACCTCATCCTGCCGCAACCAATACGCCCCGTAGCCCTGACCGTCAGCCCTAAAATGATAATACACCGCGCTCGGATTCATCGGATGCCGTCCATACTCCTTAATCAACTTCGCGCTCAGCTTGGCTCCATCAACCTCAAACCCATCCAGCGTCACCCTGTTCCACTCACCAACAGGCCACCGATCTCCATGTCTGACCCCATACGACCACATCACCATAGCCCGTGACAGCCCCATCACCCGCGGATCGCCATCACACACCTCCACCCTCCCATCCAAGCCACTCGTCGTCGCTGTCCCTCGCTTCGTAGCCCGTTCCACCGCAGCAGCAGCGTACTCTGCCCGCTTGGCCTCCCGCTCAGCCTTGCTCAGCGCCAGCCACTCACGAATCGCCATGTGCGCCACCCACTCCGCCTCGTCAACCGTCAGCCATCCCGAGAACAGCTGCCGCGCCGCATTGCCATATGCCACATCCAAGTGATAGTAGGCCATCATCTCGCGCACAGGATGCATGCCTCTATTTTTGACCACACTCACCATCACTTTCTTCCCATCGAGCAGGTAGCCCTGCGCAAACACACGCATCGCCCGTCCGTCCACAGCTTGCCGATCCTTGGCAGCCACCGTTCCTGCTTCCGCCTTACGTTTCGCCTGCTCTTGCACATCCCGCGGATCCACAGCAGGTATCTCCCCCTCCCACCGACTTTCGCTCACTCGCGTGTCCACATCACCATCCAGTGGGCTCCCATTCAACACAGACTGGACGAGCAGATGCGCCACAACCTCCAGCTCGCGCACTGCATACCATCCAGAATGCAGCGACTTGCCTCCCGCTTTGAATTGCCAGTAGAACACATCCGTGAAATCAGGATGCATCCCCATATTCTTGTCAATCACGGCGCACATCGGCCTCCCCTCCACCAGATACTCGTCCAGCCGAGGCGCAAGCGACGCGACCCTTCCGGTACAGCCAGCCGATCCCGACGATGCACCGTCCTCCCCCTCTTCATCCGCACAGCTGCCTCCACTCGCGGATCTACGCTCCATGAGCCCTTGAACGGCGACACCGTCCGCTCATCCCCCTTCCTCCTTCTTCAGCTGCCGCAGCTCGTCCAGCGCGTCCACGCCGCCGGCCGCCAACACAGCCCCGACCGCCGCCACCTCGTCAACCGAGAACCACCCGGACAGCATCCTCTTCCCCTCAGCCGACGTAACCGCCCAGTTCAGTACTCCTTCCATCTCAGGATGCATCCCATACGCCTGATGTGGCGACGCCCGCAAGCCCTTCTCCAGCTTGACCGCCCTCGCGCCCACCACAGCCTTGCGCTTGCCCACACGCACCCTCCTCGCCACCTCCATCCGCCGCCTCTGGTCAGCCACAGCAGCGACGGCTGCTTTCTTTACAACACCACAAACGTTCATATGCGCCATGGTTATCACAACCCTATTTGCTTCCACTTTGGAGTTGGGTGATAAAGGCCAGGGGCTCCAGCGTTGCGAGCGAATGCCCGCCCCGCACCCTGGCCCCTCACGCAACAACCCGACCCACTCGACCCCCCCCCCCCCACACACACACACACAGACACACACATACCCCTCACACACACACAATGGGCTCGGAGCAGTCTGCCCTTGAAAAAGAGCTCCGCACCTTGTCGGACGTCGCCCATGTCGACCTCTCAGTCCGCGGACTCTCCGACCTTCCGCCAGCCGTCGACAAGCTCGAGGGCTGCCTCTGCCTCGACTTGAGCAAGAAGTATGTATTCCTCTCTCTCCCCTCTTGGCCAGAGTGCTATCCATGTGCCCTTTACGTGACTCACGCCTCTTTAGCGAGCTAACCACGCTACCAGATGAGATAGGCGAACTGCACAACTGCCGGCGATTGCTGCTCGACAAGAACCAGCTGGTCGAGTTGCCTGATGCCATCGGCGGCCTCAAGCAGCTCACCGAGCTCTCGCTCGCCAAGAATAGAATGTTTCTCCTGCCTCTCACTGAGGCTCTCGCCGGATGCTCTTCCCTGACTGTGGTGGATCTCTCGCACAATGGGCTCGAGACCACGCCGGCTGTCCTCTTCTACCTGCCTGCGCTCACCACGCTCAAACTCCACCACAACGAGATCACTGCCGTCGATCCGCTTGTTGTGCAGAGTACCGCACTGGACGTCCTCGACATCTCGTTCAACAAATTGCGAGTCCTACCAGCTCTGCCGGCCTCTCTCACTGCTGTCTTTGCCCAGGAGAACGAGCTCATCAACGTTGAGGCGCTTGCCGACCTGCCCATGCTCGAGCGGCTCAACCTCGCGTCCAACGAGATCCAAGAGCTCCCAGACTCGTTCTTCTCCCGGCTGGCGGCACTCCAGCACATCATCCTGTCCAACAACCCGGGCCTGGTTGCGCTGCCAAGCCTCGCTGGCTGCGTCTCGCTCACCAATCTCACGCTCGAAGGCTGTGGCGTCAAGGCCATGCCGCCGTCGCTGGCTGCATGTCGCAATCTGGAAGTACTGCGGCTGCGCGGCAATGCCGGCCTTGCCGCCAACTCTCTGGCGGTTGCTACTCTGGTTAATCTAACCAAACTCTCGCTGTGTCAGATCGGGCTCACGCTCCTGCCCGACGGCCTCTCTGAGCTGTCCTCGCTCCACACTCTCGACCTCCGACGCAACAAGCTCATGGCGGACGTCATTGACAATCTAGGGCTGCCCAATCTCCACCGCTTGTATCTCTCGGGCAATCCGCTCGGCGTCGTGCCTGTCGGCCTCGAGCTTATGCCGCTCACCGAGCTCGGTCTCTCGTCGACGCTACTCGACGACGCCACAGGCGTCGACGCCGTCACCTCGCTCACCTTTCTCAACCTTTCGTCCAACAAGCTCACCTTTTTGCCGGAGCACCTCGCCGACGTGGTCCAGCTCCGCAATCTCCAGCTGCAGGAGAACTACCTGGGTAGCTTGCCCAAGACCATCGGCGCTCTGACCAACCTCGAGCGCCTCGACGTCTCCGACAACGACATCCGGTCACTCCCGCCTGAGCTTGCGCACTGCAAGCGGCTGGTGTTTCTCGAAGCGCTCCGCGGAAACCCCATTATCTTTCCGCCGCGGCGTGTCATGGATGCCGGTCTCGAGGCCATCATGGAGACGCTGCGCAAGCGCCTCGGCTCGGGCGATGGCCCACTTGTCATGGACGCGGCCAACTGATACAAGCTAAACTCCCTCGTCCTCCTCACTGCGTCGTTCACTTGCGGACAACCTCGTCATAGGCCCAGGCAACCCAGTCCATGAGCGCCTCGACGTCGGCGGTCTCCACGGTCGCACCGCACCAGATGCGGAGGCCGGGCGGGGCGTCGCGGTAGGCGCCGATGTCGTAGGCGACGCGCTCCGAGGCGAGAAGGGCGACGACGGCCTTGACCTGCTCGGGCGTGGCGCCTTCGAGCTCGAGGCAGACCGAGGTCGACGAGCGGGTCGCAGCGTCCTTGGCGAGGAACGAGAGCCACGGGAAGCGATCGACGGCGCGCTCAACGGCGCGCAGGTTCGCCTGCGAGTTGGCAATCATGGCCGGGAGGCCGCCGATCGAGTCGGCCCAGCGGAGAGCGTCAAGGCAGTCCTCGACAGCGAGGAGCGACGGCGTGTTGATGACCTTGCCCTTGAAAATGTCGAGGTTGGCCGAGCCGTCGCCCTTGCGGAGGTTGAACACCTTGGGCACCGGCCACGACGCCGTCGTCGTGTTGAGCCGCTCCACCGCCGCCGGCGAGAGGATCATCGTGCCGTGCGCGGCCTCGCCGCCAAGCGCCTTTTGCCACGAGTACGTGGTGCAGTCAAGCTTGTCCCACGGCATGTCCATGGCAAAGACTGCCGAGGTCGCGTCACAGAGCGTGATGCCCTCTCGGTTGTCGGCGATGAATGGTGCGCCGTCGGGCACGCGCACGCCCGACGTCGTACCGTTGTAGGTAAAGACGAGGTCGTGCGCCGGACTCACACCCGACACGTCCGGGAACTCGCCGTACGCATCAACACCAAAGTTGCGGACATCGAGCTTGAGCTGCTGGACCGCGTCCTTGTACCACCCGGTCCCGAACGACTCGAAATGGACAATGTCGACCGGCCGCGAGCCGAGAAGGTTCCACATCGCAGCCTCAAACGCTCCAGTGTCCGAGCCAGGCATGACGCCGACGTGATACTCGTCGGGCACGCTCAGAATGCGCTTCGACTCGTTGGTGAGCTCATTGAGGAGCGCAAGGCCTTCCGAGGAACGGTGCGAGCGGCCAAGGATGCCCGTCGGGAGCTCGGCCACGTCGTAGCCCGGGCGCTTTGAGCACGGGCCGGAGCCAAACTTGGGGTTGTTCGGCCGGATGACCGGCTTGGACTCGTCGAGCCCGAGCGCGCCGCCAACCGATGACGAGAGCGCCGGCAGCTTTGCCGACCGCACCGCAATCATGCCGTCAAGCCCGGCAATCGAGTCGATGAGCTCGTCCGGAATCGACGAGTCGACAGAGACAACGCCGACCGCCGCGCCCGACGGCGAGCGGCCGAGCGCAAACGAGCCGACGTTGATGTTGGCCGTGCCGAGCAACGACGTGATCGCGCCGATCACGCCGGGCTTGTCATCGTTGCGGAAGTACAGCACGTTGCCCTGCGGGAGCAGGTCGATGGCAAACTGGTCGAGGTTGACAATCCGCGGCTGTGGCGCCGCCGTCCCGCGCCCGGTCACAGTACCACTCACCGACCGCATCCCGTCGGCACCCTCAAACGTGATGGTCAGCTCGTTGCCGTGCATCGTCGGCTTGTTCTCAAACAGCTCGTTGATGGAGAGACCAAACTCGGTCGCCATCGACGGTGCGTTGATAAAGTTAACAGGCTCCTCCACCATCGGCGTGAGCATGCCCTTGAGTGCCGCAGCCTTGAGCAGGCTCGACTTGCCCTTGAGCAGGTCGCCGCGAGTCGAGAGCGTCACCGACTTGAGCTTGTCGGCGCGGAGCTGGATGAGGAGCGAGCCCATTCGCTCAGCGAGCTCCACAAACGGCAGCAGATCCTTGTGCTGCATCAGCTCGGCAAGGATGCGCGAATTGACCACCCCACGGACCGCCCGGTCCTCAAACACGTCCACAATCTGCGACGCAATGTCGTGCGCCACCTTGTGCTGCGCCTCCTCCGTCGACGCGCCGAGATGCGGCGTGCAGATGCACCGCTCATGCTCGAGCAGCGGCTTAATCGCCTCTGGAGGCGGCTCAGACTCGTACACGTCGAGCGCTGCTCCGGCCACATGGCCCGAGTTGAGCGCGTCGAGCAGTGCAGCCTCGTCGACGATGCCGCCGCGCGCGCAGTTGACAATCCGCACTCCGGGCTTGCACTTGGAGAGCGTGTTTGCGTCCACAAGCGACCGCGTCTCCGCCGTCAGTGGCGTGTGGAGTGAGATAAAGTCGGCCTCGGCCCAGACTGCGTCGAGGTCGACAGCCTCGATCGCCTCGGCCGCAGCCGCGTCAGCCGACATGAGCGGGTCGTACCCGATCGTTCGCATGCCCATCGCCCGGCAGATGGCCGCCACCCGCCGACCAATCTGTCCAAGCCCGACAAGCCCGAGCGTCTTGCCCTCCAGCTCCGTCCCCATGTACTTCTTCCGCTCCCACTTGCCAGACTTAAGCGACGTCGTCGCGTTCGGGATGTCGCGCGAGAGCGCCATCAGCAGCGAGACCGTCAGCTCGGCTGCCGACGTTGTGTTGCCGCCGGGCGTGTTCATCACCATGATGCCGGACGCCGTCGCCGCGTCCACGTCGATGTTGTCCACACCGGTTCCGGCCCGGCCCACCACACGGAGCTTGCCGGCGCCGGCCGCAAGCACCTCGGACGTCACCTGCGTCCCCGACCGCACCACCAGCGCGTCGTAGCTCTTGATTAGCTCCACAAGCTCGTCCGCAGGCACCTTGTCGCGCGCGTCAACCTCAAACCCGGCAGACTCAAACGTCGAGACGCAGATCGGATCGATCGGGTCCGAGATGAGAACCTTGCGAGCCGCAGCGAGCGCAGCCTGTTCTCCCCACCGCATCCACCGCTCTTTTGCCGGTGAGTATCAGCCAAAAACAATTTGGACACAAAAAAACTGTCTCGTACACTCTTGCAGCTGCTGCCTCTAAGATTGCGCGCTGCGCCACGTGGCGCGCCCGCCCACCCCGCCTAGTCCACGCTCTTTCCCACACTCGCACTCCACACACACACACACACACCGCCCGCTCCCCTTCAACATGCGTACAGCGCTTGAAAACGAGAAGCCGCCCGTAAAGCCCGGGAGGCCCAGTACAGTCCGCGTCAGTCGCAGCATTGGGTCGCTTGACGTGCAGTGAGCGGCACAAAGAAAAGTGGTGAAACGCTCGATCACTTGTAGTATCAATCAATGACAAACGAGCCTTCCGGGTGGCCAATCAATTTGGCTGCGCAACTCCCGCACTTGCGGACTCGGTGGTGGAGTCTACAGCCACCGCTGCAGCAAGTGGTGGAGCGTGACGCGTAGACAGCGTCTCGCCCGCCAGCTTTCCTTCCCCTAGTCATGGTCCGATCACTCTCAACAACCCTTCCACAACGCTCCTGCTCCAGCATGGGCTCGCCGCTGCGCAGGGCGGCGCGCAGACTCAGGGCAATCAACCGCCGTGACGTCACGGCGTGGGGCTACTGTTCGAATCGAAGGTTCTCCTTTACTCCCACTTGCTCGAGCCATCAGTCGCGACGGCCGAGGATCTGCAGCAGCATCATAAAGACACCGCGGAGGTTGAGGAACATACCGAGCGCGTCGTCGATGTGGTCCTTGTGCCCGTCGCGGGCCGACTCAATCATGCGCTGCGTATCGTAGCCGATAAAGCCCGAAAAGGCAAGGAGGCCACCGTAGAGGTAGACATTGTTGAGGACGGCAAGCGTCGACGGCGCATAGTCGATGAAGAGCGTCGAGAGCTGGATGCCCACGATGGCGAGGAGCGAGCCCATGAGTGGGCCGCCGAGCGTGAGCATCGCCCGCCGTCGCGCCTTGAGCGCCATGAGCGAAAAGCCGCCGAAAATAGCGGTCGTGCCCATGAGCGCCGTCCCCACAATCGTGGGGTCGACTGCCAGAAAGTGCCCAATAAGCGGCGCCGACGAGAGGCCCATCAGCACGCCGCCAGTTCCGAGCATCGCCGCCCGCAACGTCGGCGACACGTCGCGCCCGCGGGTAAACGAGACGCCCAAGATCGGCACAAACGCCCCGAGCGCGTACACCATCGGCGACACACTACCAAGCGCAGTAAACATGCCAAGCATCGTCCCGCCCGCCGCCGCGCCCACCGTCGCTCCGAGGGTGGCGTACACCTTGACCAGGTACCGCCCCACGTCGTCGGTGATGGCATCCGCCTGCTGGCCGGTAAACACGTCGCGCTCCGAGTACTCGACCCGCTCGCCATACCGCCCATCGCCACGCTCCACATCCACCACCTCGCGCCGCCGCGTCTCGGTCTCCTCCTCCTCCCGCTGCCGCTCCAGCAGCCGGACCCGCGCCCGCTGCCGCCGCGCCGACGTCGCATACCCGCGCCACACGCTCGCCGCACCGCCGCGGTGGGCCACTACGTTGCCGGCCGCAACAGCAGCCATCAGCCCGGCTCCGCCTTGCCCGCTGCTCCGCGCAAACACGCTCCTCGCTCCTCCGCACGCCGTCCACTGGCTAGCCATCGCCGCGCACCCGCTCCCAGCGACAGCCTTCTCGTCCTCGGCCTCGTCGCTCCACTCGGCCCCGCCCATCTCGGCCGAGAGCAGCTCGAGCGACCGCGCCGTGTACGGCGGCATGGCGTCGTTTCCGGCCACGCCTCCAGGTGCCATGCTCCGGTTCGTGGCGCTGCCGGCCAGCATGCCCACGGTTGTGGTCAGACTCGTCGCCGTCCGGCGCGTCATGTTCGTCACCAACCCACTGCTCGCTGCCAGCATACCCATACCCGGCATCATCCCCAGCATCCTTGTCGAGAACATGCTTGCAAACTACTTGTTACCACCTGGCTCAACAACTCTTGCTCACTCGGTACACTCGCGGCTGTCGTCGTCGCAGTCGAGTGCTGGCTGTGGAGGAGCGGCGGGTCGGGTCGCACTCGGCTGCCCTGCCATCCCCTCGGTCAGCCAACGACTCAGTGACTCAGTCAACCTGCGAAACCACACACTGACAACGACGTGGTGCCATGTGAACAGCTCCGATGGCGTAAGGTGAACGCGAGCACGTGGCTGCAGCTCATTTACACACAGGTCACCGATGTGTTCGCACTGAACATCAGCGCAGCAGTCATGCGAGGAGATCTCTCAAGCTGTCGAGCCAGCGGAGCGACCGCTCGGTCGGCATCCGAGTGTGTTAATAGAATAAAGAACAACATCACAAGTGAGGGGTGGTGGATGCAATGCCATGATGGCGCTTGCTTGCGCGCGGTTCGCCGGAAATGGTTTCGCCGATGCGCTTGCCGTTGGTGTTGGTTGAGGGGTGTTGCCGCTTGCCTGCTGCTGCGCGGCCTGCTGCGAGGCTTGATGCTGGGCCTGCAGCATCTGGGCCTGGTTCTTCAGCTGCTGCAGCTGATGCATCTGCTGCGCCTGCTGCGCCTGCTGCGCCTGTTGCGCCTGCTGCAGCTGCTGCATCTGCTGCATCTGCTGCATCTGTTGGAGCTGATGCAGCTGCTGCATCTGCTGCGCCTGCTGCATCTGCGCTTGCTGCGCCGGCACATGCTGCTGATGCTGAGGCTGATGCTGCACATGCATCGACGGATTCCAAGCCTGCGACGGCCAGCCGCCAGCAGCGCTCGACTGGCTCGCCTGCGGAAAGCCGCCGTGCACAGGCATGCCATGCGGGTAGCCCGGCATCGCAGAGTTCAGGCCGACCAGCGGCGAGCCCGAGCCTGAGCCCGAGACAGGCATGCTGCTGCTTGGGTTGCCTGTCGACGACGACGACGCCATCGCCATCGGCATGGACTCGTTCGACGACGAAGGCGTGCCCGAGAGCCCAGACATGACCACACCGGACGTGAGGTCGATTGTGGGGAACGGCGACGACACCCCGCCGGGGCCAAGCTGCGGCACCATCGACGCGGCAAGCGGAGGCACTATCGGCGCGGCCATGCCGCCAGTCATCGGCGCCGCCTCCAGGAGCTTGACACGTTGCTCCAGGTATCCGATGTACTCAATGGTCCGCTGCAGGAGCACCGTCCGCGTCACTCGCTCAGCCGAGTTGATCGGCACGTGATGCCGCAGCACCTCGAGCGTGTCGAGGATGTCGCGTCGTCGCTGCCGCTCCTTGCGCCGCTGTCGGTCCCGCTGCAGCGGCGTCTTGCCCGTCTTGATCACGCTCGGCATTTCGAGCTTGACTGGCGGCGCTGTCGGCGTCCGCGGCGCCTCCATCGACGACATTGTACGCGTCCCGCCCGCACCACCGGCTGTGCCATTGCCGCCAGCCGTGTCGGCCACATCTCCCTTCTTGCCGCTGCCTCTGCCTTCACGGTCCTTGTATGAATCCGGTGGTGTGGTGGAGCCGGAGCCGTCCGAGCCCGACGTCCGTGGTGTTGAGATGGAGCCCGTGCTCCGCGAAAAGTCGCCGCCCCGCCGTGCCTCGCGTGACCCGACGCTCTCATTCGAAAACGACGCCGTCCTGTTCTCTTCCTCGCCACTGTTGCTTGTTGATGTGTTGTTGCTAGTGTTGCCCGAGCTGTTGCTCGATCCACTATGCTGTAGTCCTCCCGGCCGCCGCGGTTGACCACCAGGGGTTGGGGAGCCATGGCCTACGGGCCCTTCCATATTTTTTTTTGCACCCTTCGTGAAGGGTTGGCGAAAAATGTCCGCACCTCCGTTAGTCCTCCGCATGGTAGCGTAGGCACCCTAAAGCAACCACACCCTACGACACGTGGACAGCAATTGCATGACTGTCGAAGACAACTGACGTCATCGCCCACCACGGTTCCCTATCCCACAAACACACACACAAACACACACACACAACCGTCACATATCGATTACGCTTTTGCGTAGGTTTGGCTGACCTAAAGCCACAAACCCCCAACACCCCTGGTCAAGCGGGTCAAACTCGGAGTCGGTTCCTGGCCGATTCGTCGACGTCGCGCCTCCCCCCAGGGCAAACCCCCCGAGAAAACACACATACGCACATGCTACAATCCCACAGCTTGACGAGACATGCCCCGGAACCATGCTTAACCTCGCATGTCCCTTTCTGACAGACTGACATACCTACCTTCTTATGCAATGGGGTGAGTGGTGTGTGCGAGGGGTGGGTAGCCTCTGGTTTTTGTCGCGGCTCCTTCGACAGCTTGCCCAATTTGGCGACGTGTCGCCAGCGCACGTGCGAATCACAGCCGCAACACTACCATCGCGCGCACACACTGCGTTCATCATGCTCATCTTTCTTGTCAGCCTCTCAGCTTTCTGAAAAGCTTGCCCCGTCACTGTCTCCGCTTTTATCTGTGTTGTCAGCGATCCACTACAACCTCACGGATGACGCTGCTCTTCCGCTGGTTTTGACCAGGCGGGGAACTGGGGGACTTCGCGAAGTGGTTCTTTGTCGACGCATCGGTTGAAATTGCCCGCACGAACCCTTCGTGAAACGCCCTATCCAACAGAGCTTGGTAGGCCGCCTCTAACACCGACAACATGCAAACTGCTCCTCAAGGCAGCAGGTGCTCCTTCGCGTGGATGCTACCGTAGACGCATTTGGCAGGTTTGCAAGTGGCTCCCTCTCCCATAGCTGCCTGGTGTGGTTTGCAGCTGGCAGCGCGAGCCGCTTCCGACAAGACCCGCGCCAATACTGATCACCCCGGCTCCGCACCGAACTATCTTCACTCACCACCATCGCAGATCAATTTCCACATGGCTACATGACACAATCTTCTCCCAACCCCCATCCTTACAGCATCCCACCCTCTCCATTGTCGTCCTGGCATCAAAGGCAGGGTCAACGCGTTCTCCTTTCCGGCTACTCAGCCGCAACTTCAGCTCGTACGTTAAATTGGTTCCACACCCTCGGCGTCGCCCCTGTGCCGCTCACCGGCAATTGTTGCGTTTGCATGCCGCCATATTGGACGCATCAATAGCTACGCGCCCAAGCCGCTCATCTGCACCCCCGCATGTAGCCGTTCCATGTAGCCACCCAACCCCCACCCACCCACCCACCCCCAGATGCGCGTCATACCTTTCGTTCTCCCCACCACACTTACCCCATTTGCCTGTCTCGGCCATTCAGAAAGCCGACCACTACCGGCAAGTCCCGGTGTCTCGCCAACATATTTTTCGCCCTCCGTAACCAAGCAACCTCCCGACCGCACAGCTAGCGGCGGCTCGGTGGGTGACGACCCGCCGCCGCTCCCATTCCCGGCGACGGCGCCAAAGCCAACTCCCGCTGAGCCTCCCACCTCCCACCTCCCACCTCCCCTTCCACACATACACATACACACCACACACATACATACACATACACGCACACACACACACACACACACACAGACACACACAGACACACAGACACACTCGACGTAGACACGAGACGCATGGGCTCATCCCACTCACGCACCAATGGCGAAGGTGGGGGGCATGAGAGTGGCGGGTTTGGGCAGACCTTTTCCGCCTCGGCAGGCCTGGGAACAGGTCGAGGAGCAAGTCGAGGTGGGGGAACTCCGTCGACTGCGCCAGGTGCTACCCCATCGACTCCCTTCCACGACCATCTCTGTGCACCAGCCGGGATCAAGGTCATTCAATCGGCAGCTGCTGCTCAACTCGCTGGTCAAGGTCAAGTCGCCAGCATCGCCGCAGAGCTGGCAAAGGCCACCCTTGCCTACGGCGCCGCTCTCGACTCGGCCGCATCGTCCCTTGATGCCCTGGCAAAGAAAGAAGACTCCGGCTTTGGCACAGGTGCATCACGTGCTCTCATCGAGACGTCAAAGGCCCTCGCTGCCGCTGCTCACGTCAACAGCACTCGCGGCAGCTCGCTCAAGGCCGACATCGCCCAAGAGGCCGCTCGCGCCTGCGCCTACGAGGCAGAGTGCTACGCATCGTTTGAAGACTCGCTCTCATCCGCCTTTGACGCTTACGAGTCGCTCCTGCACAACATCGAGGTCGCCGCCGCTGATGTCGCAGCTCGCCCGGTCTCGGCCGCCACGCTCTCAAAGTACGACACCGACATGCTCGACGCGCGTCGCCGCTACGAGGCGCTAGGCGCAGAGATGCAGCGCTTCCTAGGTGTTGCCTACCAGATGCAGCGTCTGCGCTTTGTCCGTTTTGAGGATGCTCTCTCGTCGCTCACTCACTTTGCCGCTCTCGCTGCAGGTGCGCCCGTCGGCGGCCTCACCTCGCGCCCGGCCCGCTCCTCGCACTCGCGCACCTCGTCCGAGGTCTCCATCGACAGCTCTCTCGACACGGCCTCCTCGCTTCCGTCCGTGGGTGCCTCGTCGCGGGCCCGTGCTCGCTCCGTCACCGCCGCCTCGACAGACTCGGGCCTTCCCGATGGTCGCCCACGCTTTGTCTTTGCCGACGCGGACATGGCCGATTTTGTCCGCTCCCACGCCATGCCGCCCGAACACCTCGACCCGCCGTCGCACCACTCGGCCTTGCATCCCATCTCAGCCCCGGCTCTCCACCCGCTCGTCAACACCCCGACTCCCACCCCGCTTGCCTCGGACTCGATGTCGTCGCTGTCAGACACCGCCCAGCGCCGCAAGCGTCGCCGCAAGCGCAAGCCCGCGCTCTCGCCCAACGCCGCCGCCGCCTCGCGCCGTCGCCGGAGACGCCGAAAACGCCGCTCGGACACCGGAGACGATGGTGACGCCGGCGACGACGGCGATGACGGTGATGACGGCGTACCCGAGTCCGAGTCTACACCCGCCTCGCCGCTGGCGTGTCAGCCGGCTCCGGTCGCCCATTCGCAGCGTGCATCGCAGCGTGCATCGCAGCGCGAGTCCGACACAGATCCGCCGTCGTCGCTCACCACCTCGCGAACCATCACATCACCCAACTCGTCGCCAGGCGCTTCATCATCGGGTGACTCGTCGTCGGGCGACTCGTCGTCGACAGGCATCGCCGCACCACCGCCGCGCAGTCCCGAAAGCGCCTCTGACACTGCCGCTGCTGCTGCCGATGCCGACGCCGCTGCTGCTGCCGATGCTGACGCCGCTGCTGCCGACGCTGCTGCTGCCACCGCTGCTGCCCTTGCCCTTCTCACCCCGGTCCGCCCAGGCGCCGCTGCTGGCGTCAAGTGCGCCCTGCCCAAGTCGTCGCTGTCGGGCACCGCCACCGCCACAGGCTCGGGCTCGGACTCGGGCTCAGAGTCGTTTGCCACCGACGCTGCCAACCCCGACCTTGACACCGTCACCTCGGAGCTCGAGATGCACACGCCGATGACCTCGCTGCGGCCGGCCGACGCCGATGCTGCTGCTGACGCCGCTGCCGCCGCCGCACTTGCACCGCCGCCCAAGGCGCCGGCCTCCGAGGGCGTCGCTGACCGGGCACTACGCATCCGCGGGCGGGCGACGCCGTCGCGGATGGACTCGGGTACATGGCGCGAGTATCGCAACATGAGCCTCAAGCGCACCTTTGGATCGGCGTCGAAGCGGTTCCAGGGCCTGCTCGCCGAGCTCGACGCCGCCGCAGACGACTCGTCGCCGCCGCCGTCGCCGTCTGCGCTCCTCATCGAGGCCCGCGAGACCGAGACCGAGCTCGACATCAACTCGTGGTCGTCGAGCGACGGCAACTCGTCGGCAACGCTCAAACGCGCATCAACAGCCTCGCTCGCGGCATCGTCAAGTCTAGCCAAGGCGCCGTCAGCCCGCGAGCTCCGCTCGTCCTTCTACGACGAGCTCATCGACGACCTGCTCTGACCGCATCTAGCCAAAGCCTCTGCGCTTGTTTACAAAAGCACCGCCCGGAGCGCAATGCCGAGCGTGACCAGTGCCACAATAGTGAGTCCGCCAGCAAGCCGCGGTGTCACCACATAGCCGAGGAGGCCAAAGCCCTCGGAAATGCTGTTCTGGTAGACGAGGAGCGAGGTGTCGATGCCAACCGACCGCCGCATCGTCGCCAGCCGCTGGATCTCGGACAGAATCTCGCGCATAAACACCGAGAACTGGGCCGAGATGTGGAGGAGCGCAAAGACAATGCCAAGGACGTAGACAATGACGTTGAACTCGGAAATCGATTCAAGCACGTTGCACCCGGGGCACCCGACCGTCCAGATCGTCGTCAGCCAGTAGCCGCCGGCGAGCGCGTACGCCGCCAGACAAGGCCCAATCCACGCGTAGTGCTCGGCACAGAGTTGCTGGACCCGGGTAAACCACTCGTAGAGCGAGGCAACCTCGACGTCGCGGAGCGTCCCAATCCGAATCCGCCCGCGGACCACCCGCGCCACTGCCGAAAGCAGCACGAGCTCGCCGCCAAACACGCCCACAACGCCCACTTGCACACAAACCGTGGCAGAGAACAGTAGGTGCAGCGCAGGCCGTGCGCCCGTCGGGAGCTCCACAGACACGTCGTCGAAAATCCGGATGAGTTTCGAGTTGAGGAGCCAGCACGAGACAACCGCCGCCACAAAGACAAGGAAGACCACTCGGTTGAGCTCCACGCGGAGCTCGTCGAGCGAGAGCGGGTTGAACGCCTCAAAGTCACGCGTCAGCGTCGACGTCAGAAACCGCACTGATGCTGTCAGGCTCATCGCTCGCATGCCGCGGTGCTCTTCGGCCTTGGTGCACTTGCGGAAGAGGAACGCAAGCCGCGGCGTCGGGTTGTTGCGCAGAACGCCAAAGTAGGCCAGGAACGGCGCCGGCGAGAGCAGTGCAAATGCCACAGCATACGCCGGCGACTCTTGCACAAGCACAAGCGCCACCGCGGGAAGCGAGAAGAGTGAAAGCACAATGATGAGCCGGAGGATAAAAACAGGCAGTGCGCGCGCTGAGCAGAGCGACGGCGAGCCTCCCACCAGCCGCGGCTGTGGCAGCCCGCTGCCAGCCGCGGAACCCATCGCCTCCTCCTCCTCTTCATCTTCCTCTTCGCCACAGCCGCTGGAGCTTGCATGAGGATGCAGGCGCGCCACCTCCAGTGGTGGCCTCCCTGCTCTGGCGATCTCGCCCTCGTCCTCCTCCTGCTGCTCGATGACGACGCCGCCCGCACGAGCGTCGCCAAACAGCGCCGACGGTGACCGTAAAGTCGAGTTGCGCGTCATCCGTACCACCGTCCGCATCGAGTGCGAGACCGAAGGCGCTTCGTTCAAGCCCGGCCGCGAGTCGGTGGTGTGCAGCTGCAGGCTGCCGCCAAAGTCGCCGACAGCCGCCGGCGATGGTCCGACGGGCAACGGAATGCCCAGTAGCAACAGAAATCGCCAGAACATCCGCGCTTCGGTCCGCAGATGCCGCCGGTCCGTTCGGTCCTGGGCCACGAGCCCGCGCACAAGCTGCTCTTGGTTCGCCCAGTGCTGTTCCAAAAAGTCACCTGTCACTGACCGCGCTTCGCGGACGCCATCCATCGAGTCGTCCGACGGAAAGTCGCCGTCATCGCCGGCCCGGAACGAGCCGTCCCGGCCCATGCCGGCCGTGCGCCACGAGCGAGAGAACGACGCCACTCGCGGGATGGTCCCCGGCCCGCCGCCGGTTGTCGACGGCATCGACACCCCGGAAATGTGTGCGTGCGGGAGCCCGGACTGTCCGCCAGATCGCCCCGACACGTGCGAGCCGAGCCCGACATACCCGTGGCCCAAGCCAGGGCCGCCGAGCCCACCAATGGCATCACCTCCGAGATGCGCCTGTCCCTGGCCGCTGTAGTAGCCGTATCCCATGCGCCCGCCACCCAGCCCCATATCCTGCTCGCCAAACCGTCCGCTGTCGCCACCAAAGCCATACCCGACACCGCCTGGCCCACCAGGCGCCGCCAGGCCGCCGCCTCCAAGCCCGGTGCCAACACTGGGACCGCCTCCAGGACCAGGACGCCCTCCATCGCCGCCACCACTGCCGCCGCCACGCCCACCACGCCCACGTCGAACACGATGGTCAGGAGGAGTAGGCGGACGAGGATAGACCTCAAACTGGTTGGCATACTCGGTGTCAAAGTCGTCATCAGAGTCCTCCGATGAGAACGAGCGATGTGGGGAGCCAGGCGCACCACCAACGACAACGCCACCACCACCGCCACCACCACCACCGCCACCACCACGCCCACGACCGCCACCACCACCACCACCGCCACCGCCACCGCCACCGCCACCGCCACCACCGCGTGCTGTTGGTATGCCTTCGTCACAGGCAGACTCACTCTGGCTCGTCATGTCGCTCCCCTCCCCCTGACAAACCCTCGGCCACTTGCTCAACCTGAGAGCTTGCGCGACGTCGAGTGGCTGCGGTTGCAAGCAATTGACTGGAGTGAACGTTCGAAATAATCGTTGGTCTCATGGCGAACGTTGCAATAATCGTTGGTCTCATGGTCATCGTTGGGGCGAACGTTGCAATAATCATTAGTATCGTGTGTGGTCATGGTCACACGCATGGGCGAGCGGGACGGGATAAGGAGATGATCAGCCTGGCACACAACTCAGAAGGTCTCAAACTCTGCGCAGCTTGCCTCGATTCGATTTCTTGGTACTGTCATACATAGCTTCTAGCCAGAGACGCTGGCGTCCCATTTCAAGCCATTTTGCGATCACTTTTTCCTGGTCTTGATCAACTTGCCTCCATCCCCAGGAAAGACTACGTGTTCCCTGTCGGAAGCGTCTCGATCGAGATCCCGACCACAATGGATACAGGGTTAAAGAGGTTTAACAATAAAGAATCAGTTGAGGCGATGGTAGCCAGATGACGACGGCTCATCGTCAGAGGCCGGGACGGAAGGGCCGAGGACGTGGGCGTGGGTGTGGACAAAGACGACGACCGAGAGGGCGACAAAGGCGACGGCGCCGGCAACAAGGACGTAAGAGGCGGGCATGAGGGTGGCGTCTGCGGCTAGACAGACAGTGTTGCCCTTGAGCGGCTCGGAGAGGTACTCGTTGAGAATCGGGTTGAGGGCGGCGCACTGCGGGCCGACGACAAAGCCGATAAAGGTGTGAAGCTGGGCAAGGCCGGCGACGAGCGAGATGACAGCCACGTCGACGGCGGACCACGAGCAGGTGACTTCGACGGCAACGGCGAGGCGGCGCTGCCACGCAAGACTGAGCGGGACAAACCAGAGGACAACCGCAAGGAGCGTGGCCACGAGCGGGAGCACGAGCGAGGCGATGTAGTAGAGAACCTGCAGGACGATGATGCCAAAGTTGGACTTGTGCGTGGCACGGACAAAGGCTTCGCCCACGTCATACAGTGAGTACTCTTCCGACGAGGGCTGCTCAAGGACGCCAAGGACGTACGCGATGGCGCCGTCGAGCTCAATCGAGAACAGCGGGACAACAGCAGCAATGGAGACGCAGGCGAGCGTGACGACCGAGGTGACTGCCACAAACACCGTGGCCCCGACCGAGGCCTTGCGCCAGAGCGGAGGTCCGACCGCCGAGTCTCTTGCCAAGCCGAGCGGCGTCGAGCCCGGCGAGCCGCACTCGGCGCCATTGAGGACGAGGGCAACACCGGCCGGCGAGATCGCGCCGGCGGTGACCAGCTGGTGACGGCGAGCCTCGTTGCGATGAAGCTTGAGGACAAGGTGCGAGAAGAAGAGGCAGGCACAGAGTGTGGCGACTTCGACGTACATCAGCGGCGTCGGCTCGACAGCAACGTCGACGGTAAAGGTCTGCCCGGACGGCGCCCCGGGCGGCGCAATGAGCTTGACATGGAGGGTGATCATGACGAGGTAGATCGAGTAGATGGAGACCAGGATCCATGTCCCCATCATCTGGGTGAGGTGGAGGGCGAGGAGGCGGACGCGCCGCGGGAACCACGACGGCCGCAGCAGCAGTGAGCCGGCAAGCACCGAGTGCTTGATGTACGTCCACCCTCCCGAGAAGACGGCAAGGAGGATGGCTGGCGGATAGACCTTGGCATCCCAAAAGTCCTGCACAGAGCCCTTGAGCGTAAACGAGAAGAGCGACGGGAGGTGGGCCTCGCGGCCGCCGACGTCGAAAAAGGCAAAGAGGAACGCAACAGTGCCTGCGCTCACATTGATGACGCAAGCGAGGTTAGCCCAAATGAGGACAACAAGCCCGCTGGTGACAACCGGCGAGACGTCGAGCGCGAGCGCAAGAGGCAGGTCGTCGTCGTCCTTGGCCGTCTTGCCCACGTACGCCAGCCAACCGAGCGAGGTGGTCGAAGCAACGACGAAAAACGCCAGCGCAATGACAATCGCCAGATGCGAGAACGCCTCCTCCTGCTCTTGTGGACCCGACTGTGGATACTGCGCCTTGAGCGTCTTGAGCTCGGACGCCAAGGCGTGGTTGATCTCGGGCTCGACGAGCGGGACGACCACGCAGTCGAGCGTGCCCGGAAGCGACGCCGCAAAACCGTACTCGAGGAACCGGAGCGTCTCCAGAGCCGCGGTGTTGAGCTCCGAGCCGGCCGTCCCATTGAGGCCATACACAACGACGTCGACAAACGAGGCGTTGAACCAGAGCGACTCAAGACTGACAGCGTCGACCGAGGCAAGCAAGTTGCCCGGCGAGAGGTACTGCGAGGTGTCGAGCGAGCTGAGAAACTCGGCGTCAATCGCGACGTACGTCGAGATGTCGAGCGTGGCTCCAGCGAGCCTGCCCGAGAGCACACCGCAGTCGGTAAAGACGCCATCGCCGGCGAGTGCCGTGGCACTCGCCGCCACGCAGAATGAGATGTTCGCGGCCAGAGCGTCGGCCGAAATCGATGACGATAGCACGTACGGCGACCACGAGGCCGGACGGAGCGTGTCAAGCTGCTGCCAGGTGTCGAGCCCATTGAGCGCAAGCTCGCCGAGCTCGATAGTGATGTTGAGGGTGTTGTCGAGGAGGGCGACGGCGAGGGTGGTGTTGAGGTCGACGGCGTAGTACCCGTCGTCGGTGAGCTCGTCCACGAGGGCGTCGAGCCCGACCGAGGTCGACACGTTGTTGACGACGTAGTCAAGGAGGGCAACAACCGGGTTGGTACGGAGGTTGATGAGCCCGCCGGGCGGTGGCGGCGGAAGTGGCGGCGGCGGCGTGGCGCGGCGCTCGGCGACGCAAGTCCCGACCTCGTCGGCCACATGGTCGAGCGCAAGCGACATTTTCGACGCCAGATCAGGCGCAACCTTGGAGCAGAGGAGGAACTGAAGCTCGACCTGGAGCTGTTTGTGGAGCAACTTGATGACAAAGTCCATGAGGTCGGCAACAACGCCGCCGTGGAACTCGACCTTGGCCAGCTCGACCACGGCAGTGCAGTCCTCGACTGAGACGGAAGAAGGAAAGTTTGCCGACATGTGATGAAGGCCCATAGCAAGGTCAAGGCGCGAGCCGTCACCAATGGCCAGATCGTAGCTGCCCGAGCCATGGAGATGCGGGAACTTGTCCTCTTGCACATGCCAATCACCCGCACATTCAACAGCCAGCGCCCCAACCTTGACGTCCAGCGATGTGGTGCCTTCTTCCGTTGCCACATTGACCTCGAGATGACCAAGAACAAAGCCCTTGCACTCGCCCTTGGTCAAGCTGATGGTCACCAGATCGTCCAACGTTTGAGTAAGCGGAGGAAGCGGGACGACCAAGTCGTCCAACCAACATTGCAAAGTGGTGCATTGCTTCATCATGCTCTCAACCATCATCTTCCGTCTCTCCTCCATGGCGGTAGTCATCGTCGTGATGGACGCCATGGACGCTGTGGTCGTCACCGCCGCCGTGCCGGTGGAGGAGGTGATAGAGGCGGGCGACGCCGCGGCCGAAGGCCAGGTGACGGCTGCCGAAAGCATGAGCATGACCAAGAACCATACGGGTATACCGGTGACGTGGTGGGTCATGGTGAAGAGGGTTTGGCGTAGGTGGTGTGGGAGTGTGGGAGTGGGGGGTGGGGGGGGGGGGGGGGGTTGTCGGGAGAGGGGTGTGGCTGTGGTTGGTTGGCTCAAGTCTGGTACCGTCACGCGTGCCCGTTGTGGTCAGTCTGGCAGAGCAGAGTGTTCGGAGAGAGGAGGGGGGGGGGGAGGGGGGGGGCAGGGCTCCGATGGGAGGATACGGTGGGTAAAGGGAGGCGATGTGGTAAGTGAGGCGATGTGGTAAGGGAGGCGATGTGGTTAGGGAGGCGATGTGGTTAGGGAGGCGATGTGGTTAGGGAGGCGATGTGGTTAGGGAGGCGATGTGGTAAGGGAGGCGATGTGGTTAGGGAGGCGATGTGGTCAGAGAGAGAGAGAGAGAGAGAGAGAGAGAGAGAGAGAGAGAGAGAGAGAGAGAGGAGGGGGAAGGGGGGGATATATCATGTCTTAGTATGTTGATGAGAATGGCAAAGGATCAAGAGGATGCAACACAAGCGTATGTACCTTCTCCAGAACCTTTTCCATCCCCTGCTACGATCACTCATGATCCGATGTCACCGATCTCTGTCGTCGCTACCCTCCCCCCCCCCCCCCCTCCCCCTCCCTCCCTCCCTCCCTTCCCCCTTAACCCAATCCGATCTCCCTCGTCAACCACATTCCGAGCCGCGTGACCAACCTGAGCGTCCTGGCAGCCGATCATGGCTCCCTTGGCAGGGACACGAACACCGACGCAGCCAGCCGACATCGTGACTGACGGATACGAGGTAGACGACGAGTGCAGGAGGTACACACCTCTTACAGAGACCACCACTTGCCAGTATGGCAGCCACCCAGCAGACCATTCTTCATGTGGTGGTGGTTGGCTTCCATGTATGTGTATATGGGCGTAGCCTTGGTCGTGGCCTTGGCCGTGGCTGTCTCTCGGTCTGTCAGCGAAGGTTGAGGTGGTGGGGAGGAGGGAAGGTGATGTGGTGATGATGGGCAGGGAGCATTGTGTGGTACTCATGGTGGATGGGTATACATGTGTGTGTATGTATGTATGTGTGTATGTGTATGTATGTGTGTGTGTGTGTGTGTGTGTGTGTGTATGTGTATATATGTGTGTGTGTGTGTGATGATAACGTCGGTCGGGACGGTGCTGGTCTTGCTGTCGGCGATGGTGTTGGTCACGATCATGACGGGTGCCCGGTTGCGGTGGTCGGTGGCCTAATCGGCGGCTAACAGCATCAACTCGGAAACCAAGTCGAGGCTGCTTACCCACCGCTGCCCAACGATGAGCTTCCCGAGCCGTGGACCAACCTGCCATTCCTGGCCCTTCCGGACGGCTGCCACACATACACCACCGACGAGGTGTACTTTACGCTCCCAAGCCTCGAAGATCCGACAGGACGCGTCCATGGCGTTGCTTGCTTCCGCCAGGTGCGGACTGACGAGCTGCGTGCCGGTGGCATCGTGCTCGACGCGGCCACCACCCGATCGCGGGTTCAGAAGGCGCTGGTTGTCCTTGCCCGCACCCCAGCCTACGACGCGCTGGCGAGCGACACCCGCATCCTTACCCGTGCCTACATGACGCCTTCGCCCGACGCCTTTGCCGACGCCGCGCTGCTTCCGGCACTATACGAGAGCCTCTCGCGCAAGCTGGCCAGCGCGGGCCCGGCCGACGTCGCCGCCCTCTCGTCCGCCGACGGCGTCACCGGCGGCGTCCTTGCCGCCCTTGTTACCGCCCTCAAGCATTCGGTCCTACGGGTAGTCAAGGCGCTGATCCTCGAGGCCCGTGTAGTGGTCTTTTCGTCGCCAGCGCAACTTGCCTGCCGCGCCCTCGTCGCGCTGCGGAGTATCCTTGCGGCCACCTTTGACATGGGCGCTTACGCTGTCGGGCCGTACATTGTGCTGCAGAGCGTCGACACTGTGGCAAGTGCACCAGCGTTTGCAGTCGCCACCTCGAACGACCTCCTCACACGGCCGGACGTCCTTTCGGCGGCGCTCCTCGTGGATCTCAAAGCCGCGTCGTGCACTGTCCTTGGCGACAAGTGGAGCAAGGTGCTGAGCCCGACGCTTGATGACCTGCACTTTGCCGACTCGCTGGTCAAGGCCTGCGTTACCGCACTTCCTGGCGCCGAGGCCGAGCTGGAGGCCTGGCTTGCCTCGCAGCTCACCGGCTACGTTGCCGCGTTTGCAGCCACTGCGGCTGCGGCGCGCAAGCAGCGTCTCGACGTCGGCGACGACGGCGCGCTTGGCGTTGCCCCCTTTGGCCTCCCGTTTGCCCGGGCTTGGACCCGGACGCGAAACTACGGCGTTTGGGCAGACGCTGTCGACGCTGGCGACGTCGGCGCTGCCGGCGACGGTGCCGACCCGACCCACCCCTGCGCAGGCCAGGGCTCTGCCCTCGACTCGATTTCGCAAAAGATGGATGCCATGCGGGTCAAAGAGCGGCTGGCCAAGGTCTCTGCCACCGCATCGGCTGCTTTCGGTGCTGTCGGCTCCACGCTCGCTTCGATGCTGGACGACGACCCGCGCGCCGCAGACTCGCCCGTCCCGCGCGACTTGCACGAGCCGCCACCGCAGCTCAGCTCGGACATGGCTGCCGAGAGTGCCGCTGCCCCGCCCGCCGCCACCCCTTCTGCACCGTCCACCGCTGAGCCTTCACCTTCCCCTGCGCCCTCACCGTCCTCAACCCCATCCTCGGTCTGGGGCTTCTTCTCGGTCGTCTCTAAGCAGATCCGCAAGGCCACATCCGAGTTTTCCGCCGCCTTTGAGCCACCGCCGCGATCCGCCTCCAGCGTCAGCGATGGCGACGTGCCGTTGCCGTCGTCGGCCAATTCAAGCGCACCAGGGGATGTTGTCCCACCCGAAGCTGACGCCACCATAACCGACGGAACACACGCCGACACAACGCACACCGACGCAGAGCAAGCCGACGCAGCGCATGCCGGCCCCATCATCGCCAACGCAGCGCAGACCAGCCCCACCATTGCCGACGCAGCGCAGGCCGGCGTCACCATCGCCGACGCCGCCATCGCTGACGCCGCCATCGCCGACGCCGCCATCGCTGACGCCGCCATCGCTGACGCAGCACACACCAACCTGTAACACCCCTTCCCACCCCACCACCCCACCCACCCCACCACCCACTCACACCCAACTCAACCACATGCTCCGACTCTACATCACTTACGCCCTCGCATGGCTCCTTGTTGCCCAAGCCGCCAGCTTTGGCCATGTGGTGGTCCCAGCTGACTCGACGTCAACCCGCATCCTTGCTGCCGTCACCGCCGCCGTGGTGGTGAGCAACTACTACGGAGAGGTCCTCGGCCACAATCAGCTACCATACTCCAAGTTTGCGCCAGCAGGGGACTTTCCCTCTGCTCGCATCGGTTGGGCCCTCATGTATGCCATCCCTGCTGCCGTATATCTCGCGCTGTACTGCTACGCGGGCGCGCCATCCTCGCTCTACCACCATCTCAATCTCCTTGTCATCCTCCTCCACTACGGGAAGCGAGTCTCAGAGTGCCTCTTCCTTCACAAGTACTCCAAGGCTCCGCTGACCTCATCCGTCTTTGGCATCGCCGCCTTTTACTCGCTCGGCTCGGTCGTCCATCACTTTCTGGTCAACATCTCCGTCGCCGTCGATGATGCTGCATCGCTCACGATCTACGCCGATCCGTCACGGTTCCACATCCCGGTCCTTGTTTATACTGCCGGTCAGCTCATCAACCTTGTCCACCACGCCATCCTGGCCAACCTGCGAAGCGAGGGCGAGACCAAGTACGTCGTCCCGCACGCCGGCCTCTTCTCCGTCGTCACTTGCCCACAATACTTTGGCGAGCTCATCGCCTGGTTCGGCATCGCCATGATCGCTCGCTCTCTCCTCGCCTACGCCTCCTGGTTCACCATGGTCGTCTACCTCTCCGGCCGCGCCCTCCAGACCCGCAACTGGTATCGCTCCAAGCTCCGCGACGACTTTCCCGCCGATCGCGACTGCCTCGTCCCCTTTATCTTCTAATCTTCCACACATACACACACACACACACCACATACATACATCGCATACATACATCACATACATACACGCACATATACACAGCCTCGATCCGTCATGGATGGCTGTCGCATCCGTCATCCTTCATCACTCTGCCCGTCGTCCTCCCGCTCACCTTCCCCACCCCCCCACCCCACCCCACCCCCACCCCCACCCCCACCCCCACCCCAACCCCACCCCACTCCACAGCATCTATGCACCGACGAAGGTCGCGTGCCGCCCGAGCTATGGAGCCTCGGCTGGGGCGACCTCTGTCAGGCTCACGCAAGGGCCGCCGGCGTCGTGGCGGCTCGCGCAAGTCGTCGTCGTCGTCAAAGGCAGAGGCCGAGAGTCGCAACAATGTGGAGATTGGCCCGCCAGAGCTGCTCGAGGGCAAGCCGTCATCGACGTCTACCACCACCGCCATCGATGCCAATGACCCGACGCCCACTCCAAAGCCCGATGTCGTCTCACCAGACGATCCGATGCTTGCTGGCGTGCCCAAGTCGCTGCGGGAGACGCTCATGCCGTTCCAGGTACGTCACGGACAATGGCACTCGGTATTGATTCTACATGACACACATTTTTTACACCCCACCCCCACCCCCACCCCCCACCCCCCAACTCACTCCTCTACCATCTCAGCGCATCGGCGTCAAGTTTGGCATCCAACTTGGCGGGAGAGTGCTTATCGCCGACGAGATGGGCCTCGGCAAGACAATTCAGGCCATCGCACTCTCGACCAACTACGCCGGCGACTGGCCGGTCCTCGTCGTCGCGCCGTCGTCGATGCGCTTTGCATGGGCCGACGAGGTCGAAAAGTGGGTCCCCGGCCTCACTTCAGACCGCATCCACGTTATCAAGTCTGGCAAAGATCTTGCTGGCGTGGCAAGCGCAGACTTTGTCATCACCACCTACGGCCTGCTTCTGCAGGACAAGCTAGCCGCCGCCATCCATGCCCGCAAGTTCGGCGTCGTCATCGTCGACGAGTCGCACATGATCAAGTCACGGACCGCCAAGCGGACCAAGGCCCTGCTGCCCATTGCACAGGCCGCCGCCCGCTGCATCCTGCTCTCCGGCACGCCCTCGCTCGCACGCCCCGAAGAGCTCTACACTCAAGTCTCTGCCATCCGCCCGGGCATGTTCGGCTCGTTCTACACATACGCCCACCGCTACTGCGCCGCCCGCCGCGGCCGCTGGGGCCTCGACACCAAGGGCGCATCCAACCTCGACGAGCTCCACACCCGCCTCTCCAAGGTCATGATCCGCCGCCTCAAGTCGTCGGTCCTCACAGAGCTCCCCGCCAAGCGCCGCACCCGCATCGCCATTCCCATCCCGGCCGCCGCAAAGGCCAAGCTGGCCAAGCTCGAGAAGCTGCTCAACGACGCTGCACCCAACTGGGGTGGCTCCGGCGACGCCGCCGCGCCGGGCCCACCGGGCGCAGGACCCGAGGGCCTCTCCTTTGACTCGCGTCGCGTCTTTATGGACATGTACAAGCTCACCGGTGACGCCAAGATCGAGGGCACTGTTGCCTTTCTCACCGAGTCCATCCCTCCCTCGACAAAGGTCCTTGTCTTTGCGCACCACCTCGCCGTCCTCGATGGCATCGAGCGGTTCTGCGTCAAGGACAAGCGCAAGTACATCCGCATCGACGGCGCCACCCCGCCGTCCGAGCGCCACCGCCAGGTCCAGGCCTTCCAGGCCGATCCGACCATCACCGTCGCCGTCCTCTCCATCACCGCCGCTTCGACAGGCATCACCCTCACGGCCGCCTCGACTGTCGTCTTTGCAGAGCTCTCGTGGACTCCAGGCATCATGGAGCAGGCCGAGGACCGCGCGCACCGCATCGGCCAGCCATCGTCCGTCTCTTGCTACTACCTCATCGCCAAAGGCACTTTAGACCCGCGCATGTGGCGCATGCTGTCCCGCAAAGTCCGCGTCGTCTCCGCTGCCCTCGATGGCGCCGCTGCCTCGCTCTCTGTCCCGGCCTCGGTCCGCGTCAAGGTCTCCATGCCCAAGCCCGAGGCGGGTGGAAGCGATGGCGACAACGCCACCATTGACGCCGCTGGCTCTATCCCACTCCCGCCCTCATCCGCCGCCCTCCACTCTTCCCACGACCTCCGGTTCATGTTCCAGCGCTTGGCGGCGCCTCAGCCGGCCCCACAGACAGCCCCCGCTGGCCCTACCGTCATCGACCTCGCCTCGTCGTCGGCCTCGTCGTCAACGCTTGAGCTCGCCCTACCGCCGCCATCTGCCGGCCGGACATCCCCATCCGCCGCCACCACCGCCGCCGCCTCGTCAGCCTCCTCGGCCTATACATTTGCTTCGTCGTCCTCCACCGCTTCCTGTTCCGACTCGGAAGCGGGCTTCCTGGAACGGTCCGGCCCGGCACCGCCGCGACCCATCAAGGTCCGCCTACCCAAGCCACCGCCTCCCCCGCTGCCTCCGGCACCCTCGACATTTTACTTTTCTATCTCACCGCACACCGGCCGCATCCAGGTCCTCGACGGTCTCAAGATCGCGCTCGGCGTCTCGCTCTTGCCCACCGCCTCTCTCACTGAGGTCAGCGCCCTGCTAAGCAACAACTCGCCGGCTGCGACCGAGACCCACGCCTTTCTCGCCCGATGGGCCACGCTCCGCCCGATCGAGCAGGCAGCTCTCGCCGGCCAAATAATCCAGGATCCGATTGCTGCCGCAGCTGCTGCCGCCGCCGCAGCAGCACCGACTGGCACCACCGACCGCTGGACCTCAACGACGGCCCCGGCGTCATCCCCCTCCCCTCCTGAACCGACACTCCTGGACGCATTTGTTACGCGCTCGCCTGCAGCACCGCCGGCACCTACGCCTCTGCCCGCGCCCGCGCCCACCTCCGCGCCCACCTCCGCGCCCACAGCAGCTCCGGTCGATCCCAATCGCTGCGCCTTTTGCGAGACCGAGCGCAAGCTGCCCGACGCCGCCTTCTGCTCGACAAAGTGTCAGCGCGAGATGCAGGTTCGTGCGAGCTCCACCGCCGTCCGACAGCAGCTGTTCGAGCTCGAGCACGGGGTGTGCGTCAAGTGCGGCGTCGATGCGCACAAGGTCTACGCCGCCACCAAGGTCCTGCACCCGCACGATCGCGCCGCCCACATCCAGGCCTCGCCCTTTGCCAACTGTTCACTGGCAATGCGGCAGCGAATGGTCAACGAGCCGTCACCAGGCTTGTTTTGGCAGGCCGACCACATCGTGCCCGTGGTCGAGGGCGGCGGCCAGTGCTCGCTCTTCAACTACCGCACACTCTGCACTCCATGCCACGCCGCCGAGACGTCAGTGCTGCGCGACCGCCTCCGCCGTGCCCAGATGGCAGTAGCCTCGGCCGGCACGGCCGACATCCGCCACGCCTTTGCTGCTGAGCCTGCCGCGCCAAAGCGCCCACGCGAGCAGCCAGCCTCGTCGCCGTGCCTCCAGGGCATCGACGCCTTTGCTCGGCCTAGCAAGCGCCGCCGCCCGCTCGTGGTCATCGACCTCGACTAAACGATGCGCCGTGCGCCGCCACCTTGCGCTGCAGCTGCTCAATCCGTGCCCGCAGCTCGTGAGGCGCGACAAAGAACTCGGCGTACAGCGTCCGTGCCTCAGGGGCCGCCCCAAAGCTCTGCGCGTGGTCATGCGCAGCCTTTTCGCTCAGCACACGGGCCAGCGCATCGGAGAGCACGTCGATCTCTTCCTCGAGCTCGACTAGCGCAGCACGTGCCTCTCGTGCCACAGCTGCGTCCGCAACCGCATCGGCCTCGCGCCCGACAGACTCGAGCGAGCTCCGCAGCGAGTCCAAAATCTGCCACTGACCCGCGGCGCTTGCTGCGCCCGCGGCGACGGTCTCCCGCAGCGTCCGTGCCCCCGCAACGACTGCGTCGTGCGAGTGCGGGTGGCCGGGTGCCACCACCTCGGCTACAGTCGCATACAGCGCTGACCGCGGCACCGGCACCGTGCGGAGGGTGGAGACTAGCTCGTCCTGCGCCCGCAAGTGCGCCGAGTCAAGCAGCGCCTCATGGCTCGCAAGAGCCTCGAGAAGCTCGCGGATCTGAAGCTCCTCGGCAAGAAGTGCGGCGCGGACAACCTCGAGCCGGGAACTTTGATCAGCGACCCTGGCGGCGAGCTTGTCTTGCTCTTCGGCCATCACCCGCAGCCGTGCAATCTTGGCGTCGTAGTTGCCATGGAGGACGGCGGCCTGTTCGCGCGCCAGCCGCCGAAAAAGCTGTGGGAGGACTGTGCCCTCGAGATGCAGGATCCGCGCTTGAAGCTCGCGTTCCTCAACCCCACTCTTCGCCGCCGGCGCCGCAGCGTCTTCGCCCTCGAGCCCTGCAGAGAGGCACGCCAGCCGCGCTGCCTCGGTCGCCCGGTCAGCCGCCGCTGCCGCCCATCGACTCAGCGAGACCGGCAGCGCCTCGCGGATCCGCGCCAGCTCGGCCTGATCGTCCTCGTACCGCGCTGCCGCCACCGCTGCAGCCTCGACCTCGGCAGCCGTCGGCTCAGGCTGCGGCGGAGCATGTCGAGCTGCCACCTTGTCTGCTGTATGTGCCAGCGCAGCCGTAAACCCATCCTCGGCCGCCAGCACCCGTGCCAGGGACAGCTGTGGCAGCAATGGACCGCCACTTCGACTCGCCTCGGCACCTGTCCCCAGCAGCGCCGCTGCATCGTCTGCCAGCTGCTGGCCAGGCGGCGCGTACATGTCGACCACACCCGCCGCAGCGGCGACAGCGGCGTCTGACGCCACGTCCAGCCGAGCAATCCGCGACCTGGTCGCATCCAACTGGCCATCATTGGCCCCTGCCCGGGCCTCGGCCATCTCTGCCAGCGCGAGTGCTCTTCTCTCTGTCCTTGCCAGCATGGAGAACATCGCATGGCGCAGACCACCCGCCGACGATGCCACATCGACCGAGCCGCCCGAGGAGTTGAGCCCGTGTCCGACATCCTCGTCATCGCCATCATCATCATCACCAGCATCGCCATGTCGACCATCCTTGCTGCGTCGAACCTGACTGACACTTCCGTCATGACCTTTGTCTCGGTCTCCGTCGTCGTTCTCTCCACCACTGGCAGCAATCGGTCTCAGCACAGCAGACGTGGCCCAGGCGAGGAGTGGGCCGAGTCGCGGGTCGGCACAGAGCGGAGCCAACTCGGCAGGACTGGCAGCTGGGCGCATGCCCGACCTGACCAGAGCAGCAGACAGCCGCTGGGCGTCGACAACTGTATTGGATTGGGGCATGGTGAAGGGTGGGGTGGGGTGGGGGGAGTGGTGTGTGGTGGCAGGCAGCGGCATTGGTGGGCTGACAGTGGGCGGCGGGCGGCGGGCGGCGGGCGGAAGGGGACGGGGAGGGCTGCCTGCAGTGCATTTTGGCGAAGGAGACGTTTAGATCAGGCGAACTCGCGGGTGGGGAAGAGAACAGGGGCCATGAGTGACCAGGCGTAGAGGGCGTGGGTGACCCACGAGGTGACAACCTTGACCCAGACGGCGGCGGAACCCGAGTTGACCCGGAGGCCCGACGAGGCGTTGTCAGCGTGCGAGAGCACCATCCAGTTGCTCAGCAGCATGCACATGTAAAAGGCGGCAAGCGCAAAGGTGAGGTGGAAGAACGAATAGTTGTAGGCGCAGGCGGCATCGACATCGTCGGCGCTGCCAGCCTCTTCATCCTTGGCCTTGGACTTGGCGGTAGCGTCAGTATTAGCGTCAGCGTCAGCGTCAGCGTCAGCGTCAGCGTTAGCGTCAGCATCGGCGTCCGAGGCCGCACCATCATAATCGTCAAGCAGAAGAACAGTGGTGTCGTCGTCGTTGTCGCCATCGCGGATAAAGAGGCCCTCGATGTCCGAGTCCGAGACCGAGAGGCGGATGGCCGAGTAGCAGACGGCAGCGATGGAGAAGAGGACGCCAAAATGAGCGACGACATCTGCGAGGCCGACGCGCCGGCGGGCTGCGGCGGCGCGTCCGACTTGAAGGTGCAGGCCGCGGCGTTCTCGGACATGATGGCCGAAAAGACGAGGTACGTCGAGTAACCGGCAATAACGCCGGCCTGCAGCAGACCCGAGTTGGGCGTCTTCTCGCGGACGGCGGGGAGGAGCGAGATAAAGGCGTTGGCGAGCGAGGCCAGGATGTTGACGGTGATGAAGAGCGAGTTGAGCGGGCACTGCGAGACGTAGAGCACGTACATGGCGATCGAGACGGCAAAGGTAAAGACAAAGAGCCCAAGCGTCGACGAGAGGTGGGCGCAGTACCAGCCGTTCGGGTCGTCGGCCTCCCACTTGTCGGCCCACGACTCGTTCCAAGAAGCAGCAAAGGTGATGAGCAGGAGAATCTGCAGGAGGAGGAAGAGCGTCGCCCCGGTAAAGGCGATCCACCCCAGGGCGGCAAGGCCATCATTAGGGATGGAGAAAAAGGCAAAGATGAGAAGGGCGACAAGAGCAAACTTGACGATCCAGAACGAGTTCTGCACCGAGGCCCTCGCCGAGTTCTTCTCCTTGACGCCGATAAGAATGCCAGCCATACCGAGATGGAAAGCCGCCAGCGCGGCCATGACCCGAGTCACAGCTGACGCACCTCCCAGATGCCAAGGGAGGTTCTTGAGAACAGGAACAAAGGGCAGTACCACGGCTGCCCAGTTGGAGAGTACCCATGACACAAACGAGAGCACAAGGAAGAGTCCGAGGTATGTCACCCGTGACCGTGTCGACTTGGAGAGTGTGGCGCAGCAGCTGTGTGTTTTGGGCGGGAGAGAGAGAGAGAGAGAGAGAGAGAGAGAGAGAGAGAGAGAGAGAGAGAGAGAGAGAGAGAGAGAGAGAGAGTAGTACGTACGTA